CCGCCCCCGTGCCGTCCGCAATCTCCTCTCAAATAAATCAAACTTTTGAATCGCGCTCGACTCACCCTCACCCTCCCCACCCGCACCACCACTCCGCATCGGCGAATCCGGCCACCGGCAGAAAACTTTGTAACCGGCCGCCATTGTCAAGAGTTTAAAAGCTGAATGGAGTTTTAGATTGTACATCGAGCGCTTTCGGTTTGTCATACTCCGCCCACCACCACTGCCGCCGCCGACCCCTCTCCTTCCTTCGGCGAGTTTCGAATTCTTTACGTTCCTCTTCCACCCTCCCCCTCTCCCCTCCTCCATTCGACGGAATCTTTTCGTTATCTTCGACCTACACTTAGTCCCCCGGTGTCGTAGCTACGTTCCGCAATCTCGTAACGATTCTTCTTCCTCCCTATTCTTTCTCTTCCTCGACGAAAATCGTACGCTATTGTACGGACTTTTATGGAGAATCGAATGGCTAATTCTTTATCTCGTTCGAGGATGACCGTTTGAAACTTTCATGTATATCTGAAAAGAGTATCGCAAATCGTTCCCTTTTGTCAAAAAAAGGAGACTCTATTTTTCGTTTCGCGTTTCTGATACGCGCCCAGTTCGAAGTTAAAGCGCAGCTTCTTAAACGCGTGGACGAAAAATACGACGCGATTCGTTCTCTGTAACTTCCAAAGAATATATATTTTTAATTAATCGAACGATAGCTATTAATAGAAAGGAGAATATATCTGATAAATGACCCGAAAAAAATCGAACCACATCGTGGTTCTCCTCGTTATTTCGAGAGATTCAAGCGGATCGTTGCCCGTGTACTAGTCAATTAATTAAGCGCTAATCAGAATTTTTGCTTATTGGTGTTGCTGTACCAATTTCGTATTCGCCTCGATTCGAGTGGCTATTATTTTCGTGAATCGATCACCCTTTGTTTCCGCTCAACCCTCTCCACATCACGGAATGCAAAATGCGAACGTAAAAATTCGTTCGTGCCTCCCTCTTCCTCTCCCACCTTCTTTCTCTCTTGTTTTTCCTCTATTACTTCTCTTCGTTTTATAGCACGTTCTATTTCCAACCGTAACCGAACTAACGTGAACGCGGGGAGGTGTAACACGCGAGATACGATGCAATCCGACACGGGGAGTCAGAAGCGAAATCGTTCCTCTCGACAAGGAAATGCGCGACGTTATGAGCATCCGAGTCACTTTAAAGCTAAAAAGCACGTGCTCAAATGAGATACTCGGCCGCCGTGTTGGTCTCGCCGTTACCGTCTCGCGCTATTTCGTTCCCTGTCCCCTCGTGACGTGCACGCTGTATCGTATCCTAGCGGTTTTCTGTTGTTCCATTACGCGCAAAGCTGTCTTGTAATCCGCTTATTGAATGTCTCCTTTTATTTGCTTCTTCCACGTTTTACGTGTGTCACGATTATTTGTCTCCGCCAATGGCTCGACGTCGATGTACCATTCTTTCTCTCTTTGTGTATGTATATCTTTCTTGTGTGTATGTGTGTGTGTATACGTATATGTATACAGTGTTTTATTCGTTTTCACAATGTTTTATTCGTTGTCTATTACCAATTCGTCTCCCTTCATGTAAAGAGAGAAAACGTATATGTAGTATATTTCTGTTTTATTTGTTTTCTTTGTTCCGTAAAGGATACGAATTTATTTTTAACGATGTATCGCTTCTTAATTGACGTGTTTCTTGTGCTGCGGGATATACACGTGTACAAGATAATCTTTGCGTGACTCTGTTGCTGATGTCGTGAAACGTGTTTGTTAGTGATGTTCGAGAGACGAATTAGTTTTTCGATAAATGTTTTAGTATAGATATAAGTGATATAATGACATTGTCGATATTCGAAAGAATCATTAGAAAAAAGAATTTAATTAATTATTAACTCATCCATGATTAATCAATGTGTTTATCTTTCTAGCATGTTATTTAAGATTCTCTCAACAAAGATGTAAAACGTATGGTGCATAAATTATTTGAATAGTTAAAAGCAATCGGAATATTCGCGTTTGAATTGAAATTTCCGTTTTGTTCGATGGCTAACTTCTGGATATTCTGGTAAAAATTACCAATAGCAACCAATACCAATAACAACAATAGAAAATATCTTTATGTATGAAATTTTATATTAATTAATATTGAATAATGAGTAAGTAACATGACGTTAAATAAATTTTGTGAAATTATTCTGTTTGCTTTTCTTGATGTTTTATTTATTATTTTCTTTTGAATGTGCGCAAAAAATTTTAACATTTCAATACCTACTTAATTATATCACCTTAAAAATACTTCTTTGATACTCGATTACAATACAATTATAAGACTTGGAACAGTACGGGGACAAAGATACTCCTCTCCTTCGATATACTCACATTAATCAATGCTTAATAACTACGCTCATCTTCAAGTTAGCCATCAAACTTACAAATCCGATTGTTTTTCTCATACTAAAAAAAGTAATCTCGCAATGGACTCGACCTATACTTCTACGCTACTAAATACAATATATATTTACAATGCAATCAAACTCTGAAACGAACTTCTCAAAAAAAAAAAAAAAAAAAAAAAGCAAACGATACATTCTTCTTCAGAAAGAAACACTCTCTCACACACCCAAAAAACATCCGATCCATCGCGTTTAAAGTGAAATTCGTTTATCGCGGATACGAGGACACTGCCTGCGGTGGCAACGCATAGAGAATGTATTAAAAAGTGACGGGGACGCGTTCGTTGCAGTGATGAACAACTACCAGGCGGCCGCAGCGCAGGCCGGATTTCCGCCGGCGTCGCCGCACGCGGCCGGTGGACATGGTGGGCCACAGGGCCGGTCATTTCCTGCGGCCAACTCGCCGGGCCCCATCGACATGTATAGTTCAAGCGCCGCAGCCGCAGCAGCAGCCGCAGCCGCGGACTCAGCAGTCGCCAGCTACGTCCAGGCCGCAGCTAGTCCGCAGCCCCCTACGACCGCGTTCCCTGCGATCGCCGTGTCTCGTGCCCCGCTCAACTACAGTCCCGTAAGTCCATTCTACGACCTCCTTTCACGCCCACCCCCTCAGAGTAATCCATAATGGGTGTTAAATTCGTAATTTAAAGGGGGGTGACGTTCGTTCAAAATGGTCCTCGATGCCACGTGGTATGGATTTTTTTTTTTTTGAAAACGAATACGGGGGTAATGAAAATTCGATTGGGAAGAAGAGATGAAGAGATTGGGTTGATTTGATTTCTGGAATCTCGATGCGGAGTTTCGAGAGGCGTTTTTTATGTTCCGCCTTTTATTATGACGCCTGAGTGAATGATAGACTTGTACTACTTGGCATCTGTACCTGTTTAATTTTGCAATGAATCTACGTGATCATTTGGATCTTTGGAATTATGTATGGATTTAGGTGTTAATAGATGTGAAGTTGAAGAGGTTGAAGAGAATTGGTGATGGAAGGTTTAATCTTTGCAATGAATGGAGAGGAGTGATGAGCGAAGATAGAGGAAATTTTATTTGATAGAATAATGTTCATGTAGATTTTAAATTTGGATGAATTTGGTAAATTGTTGGTTTATATTCCTTGATGAATCAAAAATTATTCGATAACGATTTATAAAATCATGATATTTCTCACGTAAAGTTTTAAATTCGATAATAATACTTTATAAAGAAACGTTTCATTATAATTATATTTTAAATGATCAAAATTAAGAAATAAAAAAGAGGAAAATCGGTTACTGAAATTTTCTTATACATTTTCCATTCCTATTCTAACTAAATGCTTTGTTTAATTAATATTCATTTAACATGTTCTTTTATTTCCGAGTTAGAAAGGTGTGAATAGATTTTAATTAAACTTTTCACCGATAGTCTCTGATTGAACTAAAAACTTTTTCAACAGCTAACCGTACTAACAGCATCGAATTATTAAACTTGTCTGTGATACTTTTATCTATTTAACGTACTTTAGTCAAGATATTCAAACAAGATAAAAAACAAAGAAAAGTCGAGAGATTCGAGAGTACGGTGCAAGTTGTTTTCCTTTTTTTTTTATTAGAGTTTTTCAACTTACGTTGCTATAGCTTCGATTGCAAACCAGATTCAGATTGCTGAGCTTTTCAATTTGCCAGTATTTAAAGTTTTCATTCCATTCCATTTTTTATCTTCAATTCCTTTTTTTTTTTTTATTATTCTTTTTTTAGAATAAATTCTTTAAATCGTACGATGCAACCTTCCAGGATCCAGTATTGCAATTGCACGTAGTTAAAACATTTTTGCAACTTAATATAAACTTTTATATAGTATATAATCTTTATATAAAATATGGATAAATTAATAAATTTTGTTGAAAATATGACGTGTGAACCTCATTAAATATCTTCTTCGTATTTTAGGGTCCTCTAATACCAGCGGCGTTCACTAATGGCTACCATTGAGCCTTGTTAAGACCTAATAACAGGTATGTACACACGTTCTCCTGCATTAGCTTTTAAATTATCTTCTTAAGTGTTTCATGCCTCGTGATAATAAACAAATTTTATACTTTGACTAAATAATCAGATGATAATAAAATATTTATTGTATTGAGCTTAAATTTCCGCAAAATGTGATTATAAGAAATTTCATCGTAACTTTCATTAAACGATTAATTCAATTAGCAATGATCAAAAGATGATAATATTTCCTATTGTCTTTTTTTTCGCATTTAGCGCATTATCGTACGAATACGGTAACGAAATACTTTCATTTTGTAGCAAACGCAAACACGTTCACTAAAAATTAATATAACAGAAACACTATGTTTCCTTAATAATTAATCATAAATTTCGACTTAGTGTATCATATCAAATATCATAATTATAATAACAATTTAAATAATAATACAAATAATAGAATTTGAATGCTTAAGATACTTTCGTGATTATTTCTTAAAATTTGCAAAATATACGATTGAATAATAATATTATCAACGTAATTTTCGACGAAAGTATCTTATTATTTTTTAGATTTCATTTCTTACCATTCACTTTAAACTTTACTTCAACAGTAACACGATCCGCTTGCGCTGATTTCACAAAAATCATGGCTTCTAACCTGACGAATCACGCATAGCGTGTTCGTCGTTTATGTGCCGCAATTTATCGCTAACAAATCGTGATTTTTTTTTTTCCGTTAGGATGGACGAGAGGGCAGAGCGCAGCACGGTCGACTGACGGTACAATGAGCGGTGTAAATGCCTTGGAAAAATTCACCATGATGAATGATCTCTGGACGGAAGAGGACGCGTACCATCACGAGCAATAAAACGAAGAATCGCGATTTAGGTAGAAGAATAACGGTTTCCAACAAAAGGAGGCTTTTCGATTTTGTAAACATGATCGATCGATTGCAACGATCGAACGAATAAATAATCGTGATTCCCCAGCGGAGAAGAAAGGAAGAGAATCAAAATTGAAGATATTAGAAAAAAAAAAATCAAGTAAACTAAGAAATGTAAAAAAAAAAAAAATAAAAAAAAAATAAAAAATAAATTAAAAATCATTGAAATGATAAAAATATGAAAAAAAATAAATATATATAGAATTTATAAATCGCGATACACGTCCAGAAAGTTTGCGAGAGAAGCAACATGGTAGAGGGAGCGGATAAATATAAGGAAAACGTAAAGGGCAGAAACTGCGTAATGGTAGATGTGGCCGAAACTGCGTAACAATGCCCGTTCTCCGACATTAATAAAGAATAATATATTAATAATAATGAATTAAATTAATATTATTAATTGCTAAATAATTAAGCGACTAAGTCTAGAATATATAAATATTATATATATAAATATATGAATATATATAAATATATATATATATATATATATAAATAATTGATAAATATTAGACGATAACGTATGGATCCTTAGTATTTAAGGCAGACGATAAAGTCGCGGAAGAATACCAACTTACATACGAAAATATTATTATAATTACTGGTTATTATTGTATAACATTATGGCGATTCTAATTGATTATAACAAAATGGAGAAAGAAGGATGGAAAGCTGTGCGTCGTGTAAGCTCGCGCGCGTAGCCGTGCGCGTTATACATATATATAAATATATAAATATAAATATAAATATAAATACAAAAATACAAATATAAATATAAATATAAATACAAATATAAATATAAATATAAATAATAAAAAAATATAATTATTATATACATATACGCGTAACTCCGTTCGCACCCGGGAAGAGAACCCGTCGTCTCTCTGTTGGGCTTTCGAGAATTTTTTTTAGACAAGTAGCGGCGGAGTGAAGAGAGAAAGAGAGAGAGAGAGAGAAGCAAAAAATAAATAAATAAATAAATAAAAATAAAATAAAATAAAAAAGATGTACAAGGAATTTTTTGAGAAGCGTGAGTCGACGACAAGGAGGAGCACCCGACACGAATGTTTGAAGGGTAGTGTCGGGCCGGAAGGGAGATTTGGGAGACGAGACGACGAGGGCGTTAGGCAGGCCAAGAGTGGGCTTCGCCCTTTTCCTTTGTTTCTTGCGCGCGCGTGTCCGCCACTTCTCAGCGTGCTCTTTGCCGACTGAATGCCGGAATGGCACTTCTCTCTCGCGTCCCGTCGTTGAAGCACTTTTTCCCTTTTCCCGGGTGTGCAACGAGGGAGAAAAGAGGACGAATAAAGCACGGAAAGAGCAAGGAGAGGGAGGTTGCGTACATAGACGTAGGCACGCGTGTTACACGGATGACGTGACGCTGTTTGCATTGCTTATCGTGCGAGGGATGAAAGAAAAAAAAAAAAAAAAGAAAAAAGAAGAGAAAGGGAAGAGAAAACGCGGGGGCCCTCGAGCCAAGATCGACGGATTGGAACTCGCGAGGCTTTATGTAAGTTATAGGAACGAAGAGAGAGAGAGAGAGAAAAGAAACAATAGGGAGAAGGACGAAAAATGGAAATGAATACTGCTTTTAAGATGCGTATCGATTGAGGGAAGAAGAGATGGCCATCGCGAAGAATACTATTCTACAGAGAAGGAAGAAAGCGAGAGAGTACATTAAACATACATACAGGGTCGCGAGATCTATGTAAAAGGACGCTAGGCCTCCGAACGTTGCATCGTTCAAAATCTGTATCCTATCTAGTGGCGAAAACCGATGACCGGTGAATTTCACAGGCTATTGTGTAGCTGTCCAATCGATTAGTTACATTAACCTCGGCCCATACATACATATTACACGCGCGCGAATTATTGTACCATTGATTTACCATAATGGCAGCTATGCATGACCCTATGGATGAAAGCCAGCTATGGAAACACGAGCAATGTTCGACGGCACGCATTTCACACAAGCTCACTGTGAACATACATAATAAACCATCCACACACTTCCACGTTCAATCTGTACACGCATTACATGCACACATACATACATACACACATATACACGATCCGAAACACAATATTAATATACGCTTTCATACGCGTCCGCGGCTTTTTAAACAAATTATAAAAACACACGCCTATATAAAAAAAAATAAATATATATTAATACAAATACACGCAGCTACGCAACAACGGGAAGAACCATACGCAACCATCAAGTTACGCGAGACAAGATTCTGTTAAGAGGAGAACAAATATATATTATACAAACATACGCGTGTATTCAGTCATTATACCGTGCGTCCGTATATGTACAGAGCGTTAGTTAACGGCGAGATACCGTGAGATATCGTCAAAATGCGTGAGTTAAAGCGGAGATTAAGAGTAACGCGTGCGATAACGATGATAATTTCGAGACGAAGCGAGATTGTGCGTCTTCTATATACCCCTGTGTGTGAGAAAGAATGAGAGAGAACGTGCTGATACGTGTGTGCGAGCGAGAGAAAGAGAGAGTCATTAAATCTTTAAGATTGAGGAACACGGTCATCTGAAAATGCCATTTGCGAATTAAAACGAAGAAGAAGAAGAAAGAGAAAAAAGAGAAAAAGAGAAAATTGTAAAATTTAAATGCGAGCTAACGTGGCGTTGAACGTGAGAGAACAATAATCGCGTATGGTAGCCTTAATCAGGGAATAACTGATTGACATCAAAAGATTCTTGCGTTTTTTCGCGCTTAAAAAAAAAACATTTCGCTGATCAAATGGACAAAGGGCGCGAACGGGGATACTCCATTCGATTATTCGTAATTGGTCTAGGTTAAAATATTATGTAATATCATACGGGAAACAGGGAGGTATAATTTTATTCGTTTCGTTTTTCGGCGCACGTGTATATTTTGTAAAACTTAACTTAAACCTTCGAGAAAGGGTTCAGAGGGCTTGAAGGGCATCGCGACGCTCGGATCTTCCTGAAGGGGAGAGATTGAAAAAAAAGGAAAGAAAAAACAAAAAAATAAACCGTCGACGTGCATAAACTCATTCCGCGGATTGTATAATTCGAGTTTTTTTGTTGATATATTGCTGATAAAAACTGTTTTCGTACGATACTATTATTGCTATTATTAAATTCGCCAAGCGAGAGTCAACGAGCGATTATTATAATTATAATTATTATGAAACGATGGATATACGTGCGACAATTCTAGGTACGGTTATTATTGTATTCAACAACAGGGTAAAAACAAAAAGAAAAAAAAAAAAAGAAAAGAAGAAAGAATTGAAAAATAAGAATGATTTTAAATTATGGGACGCGTGTCACGTCGAACGGCGGCCATTTTGTTTTCCTGTGCGCGGGTATGCGTGCGCACGATGAGAAAAAAATTCAAACAAAGGAAAGAAAAAAAAAAAAAAAAAA